CAAATGTGTTTGTGTAAAGCACTGGTGGGCCTGCCCCTTGTTTCCAATGGGTATGATGCCACTGCTTCATATTATAAAATTTGGAATATGAATTGTGAAAATATAATCGTTTTAATATGCCTGAGAAAGGATTACCTCTCAGCTGAAAAATTATCTTTCCACTGTTACGCATCAGAGTAAATCCATGCATTTTACAAAACTCACTTAACCTCTGTTAATTATTAGTATAAAACAGTAAGTAAGGCTGATAATTATCGGCGCAAATTCAAATTTAACGATCTTTGGGTCTGAATGTTTTAGCCAAGAAGCGCTACTAGTAGAGTCACGAACTGTGTGGGAATGATGCACTTCACATCTAGTCGGTGAATCATCCTTTTAGCAGTTCAGGAAGTACGTTATGACATGCGTCACGGTCCTCATATACGTATTTCCGCTGGTAGGGGGTTGTTTAGTTAATGTTGATGTGCTTCAGCAACTAAACATCTTACTTATATTTTGTTTTTACACTACCAATCTGGAAGCAATTTCGTTTGCAAAAGCATCATTACAGACAAAATAATTATAGTTACATGGAATAAGAACTATCTGAGGGTTAAATTTAAATAGTGTAATAAATAATTTGAAGTAGTTACAAAAATAAACACACGCAGAGAAAAATGGATATTGAGAAGAATAAAACAGTATTCATCATACCACAACGCCGGAAGCTAAATACACTAATTACAGTGGCACCTAATAAAACTGTTCTTCCTGTAAATTAGATACACTGATCACGACCGTTGAATCTAAAACTCTATCGAAACTTAGCTTTACTCCTGAATTAGTGAAACTGAAAATAGAGATAACTCAACTTCCAATTCTATCGACAGAGGATGCTTTGCCCTAATGGTAAAGATATTATGAGACAGTTTAGCTCATAATTTCTACGTATATCTCACGTGATCTTTGGATAACATGAAAATATGAGAATCTTATCTGAACTGTAGGTCTTATCACAGTTGCCCATTTAAATAAATTAAAGTATCAACTATTTAATACACTACAAGTATAATATAGTGCAATAAAACTATACGAATCATTAATTATATGATACAGTGCAAGTAAATTATATGAAGCATTTACTATAAAATACAGTGCAAGAAAACTGCATATAGCATTAACTACATGATACGGTGCAAGTTAGATGCATGAAGCATTAACTATTCAACTACATGATATAATGCAAGTAAGCTACATGAAGCATCAACTATTCAACTACATGATATAATGCAAGTAAGCTACATGAAGCATCAACTATATGATATAGTGCAAGTAAGCTACATGGAGCATCAACTATTCAACTACATGATATAATGCAAGTAAGCTACATGAAGCATCAACTATATGATATAGTGCAAGTAAGCTACATGGAGCATCAACTATATAGTAGAGTGCAAGTAAACTATATGATATATCAACTATTCAACTACATCATATAATGCAAGTAAGCTACATGAAGCATCAACTATATGATACAGTGCAAGTAAGCTACATGAAGCATCAACTATATAGTAGAGTGCAAGTAAACTATATGAAGTATCAACTATTCAACTACATTATATAATGCAAGTAAACTACATGAAGTATCAACTATTTAACTATATGATAAAGTTCAAAAATAACATATGAAGCATCAACTATATGATATAGTGCGGATAAACTATGTACGGTATCAACTATGTACGACATATTGCAAGTCAACTATTTTCAAGTATCAACTATATGACACACTGGAAGATTACTGTGTAAAGTGTTACCTTTATAAACCTTGCAAGTAAACTCTGAGAAGTGCCAACTCTCTGTGACACCCTGTAATCAGACTGTGTGAATAGACTGCAAGTGAATTAAGTGATATGTCAGTGATGTAATTCACTGGAAGCGAAATGTGTGAAGTATCAACTACCTAACACACTGCAAGTGAACTGTGTGAAGTATCAACTAGCTAGCACAATGTAATTGAATTATGGGAAGTTTCAACTACCTAACACACTGCTAGTGAACTGTACGAAGTATCAACTACTCAACACACTGCAAGTGAACTGTGTGAAGTATCAACTAGCTAGCACAATGTAATTGAATTATGGGAAGTTTCCACTACCTAACACACTGCTAGTGAACTGTACGAAGTATCAACTACTGAACGCACTGCAACTGAACTGTGTGAAGTATCAACTACTCAACGCACTGCAAGTGAATTGTATGCAGCATCAAATACTTCTTAAAGTCACTGCAAGGAACTGTGTGAAGTATCAACTATACAAATAAATTATAAATATGTTTCCAAATACAATTACGATAATGATATAAATACCTTTATAAAACTCTTAAAACAATATCATATATCAAGTGAATAGTGAGGAAAATGTGCACAGCAATTTTCAGAAGTGACAGTTATTATTAAATATTCCGGATGCATTACATACATTTAATACATACAAACGTTTTAGCCTTGAGCTTCAACGCTGTGTTGCGAAAACCAGGTTGTTCACAAACAGTCAGTGAACTACAAATATTTTATATCATCGTTTTCCAGGTGGTCAAACATTAATTGATATTCCATGTGATAAACCGCGAAGTCATGCTACAGTCACTCGACAAGAAAAACAATTATTACCGTGTTTGATGATACAGGTAAGCTCTAATAAATTCAAATACTGCAACAATGGATCATTGTTTTCCCACATACGATAGCAAAATCAGAAATAAAGTAATATAATGCATCTAACACACTGACTGTGGCCTAACATGTCGTCCAGGGAACCTAGGACACTAATTGTGGCCTAACACGTCGTTCAGGTAACCTAAGGCACTGACAGTGGCCTAACGCATCATCCAGGCACCCTAGAACACTAACTGACTGTGACCTAACACGTCGTTCAGGTAGCATAAAACACTTAACACGTCGTCCAGGTAACTTAGGACATTAAGTGATTGTGGCTTAACGCGTCATTCAAGTAGTCTAGGATACTAATTTACAGTGACTTAAGACGTAGTCCAGATAACCTAGAACACTAACTGATTGTGGCCTAACACGTCGTTCAGGTAACCTAGGTCACTGACAGTGGCCTAACACATCATCCAGGCACCCTAGTACACTAACTGACTGTGGCCTAACACGTCGTTCAGGTAACCTAGGTCACTGACAGTGGCCTAACACATCATCCAGGCACTCTAGTACACTAACTGACTGTGACCTAACACGTCTTTCAGGTAACCTAGGTCACTGACAGTGGCCTAACACATCATCCAGGCACTCTAGTACACTAACTGACTGTGACCTAACACGTCGTTCAGGTAGCCTAAAACACTAACATACAGTGACTTAACACGTCGTTCAGGCAACCTAGAACACTATCTTACTGTGATCTAACATTACGTCCAAATAACTTTGGACATTAACTAAATGTGATCTAAAGTATTCATCAAATAATCTTGGGCAATGTCTGGAAACAGGTAATATATATATATTGTGCTCTGCCCAACATGGGTAACGAAAAGAACTGCTTATATTCTTGACTGGAAAAAACATTTATTTGAAACTAAAAAAATCTGATTTTGTTATAAAACTAATATTGGTTAACAAAAGAGGTTGCACAGTTCTCACAAGATAACGATGAAATTAGATGTGGTAGTTGCTGGAAAATTTATAATACTCATACTTGGCATAATCAACGATCTTCAACCCAGTAAGATCATTGCCTTTTTTAAGCTTCTATTAGGACTTTTAGTCTTATGCTTACTGTGGTGGTAGTCTCTCTACAATACTAAAATAAAATATTCACAAAAATCCAGCAAAAAAAAAGACAAACTTACTTTGGTGGCAATCTTTAGAACACTAAAATACGACATTTCTCAGGAGCCAGTACAATCATACAAAGCTTACGTCAGCAGTCTAAAACACAAGATTCACCAAAAGCTAGTACAAACAGAAAGTTTACTTTGGGAGTCTATATGACGCTAATATTCTGCACTTTTTTTCTTTAACCATATTCTACTAGGGACAACGTTCTCATCTAAACTTTATTCTCATTGCAAATGAAACATTGAAAAATTACGCCAGTTTTGGGTTAAATAAGATATGCAAAATCAAAAAAAATTCTACATTGTAGACAATAGAGAGGATGTATTAAAACAGCTCTAAAATCTGAAGGATGAACTATTTCATTGCTTGCTTATTTTTTTACGGTTATTATGCGTTCTCTATAAATGCGCACTGAGGTGGTTACACTGTGACAATGTGCACTAAAATGGTTACTCATTACAAGAGTTCACTGGCACAACTTGTAATAATATATTAATTATTCAATGACTTATTACATTGTAGCAAATTGCACTAAAGTGGTTACTTATTACACGAACTCATCGGCACAATGTAATAATAAATTGCACTAAAGTGTTTACTCATTAGCTTAATACACTCTAACAATGTACACCAAAATGGTTACTCATTGGTATAATGCTTTGTAAAAATATGCACTGAAGAGGTTACTCATTAATTTAGTACATCTTAGCCATATGTATTAAAGTGGTTACTCACTATTTGTAGCAGTATGCACTAATGCGGCTACTCAGTGGTTTAGTACATGTCAGCAATATGCACTAAAGTAGTTACTTACTGATTTGGTACAATGTAGCAACATGCACTAAATTGTTTACTCACTGTTTAGTACATTCTAGCAATATACATTAAATTAAGTTTTTGCTCACTGGTTTAGTACGTTGTAGCAAAATGCACTAAATTAAATGGTTACTCACTGGTTTAGTACATCGTAGCGATATGCTCCAAATTAGATAGTTACTTATTCAAGAGGGTCATTGTAGCAATGTGTATGCACTAAAATTGTTACTTATGCATTAAGCACATTGTACCAATATGCACTAAAGCGGTTATCTATCCACTAAGCACCTTGTGAATAAGCGGTACCGCCTGACCTAGTGCGTTACAACATTGACACACTTACCTAACGGTTGAAGCTGTCAGTTTTCGAAACTCCTCAGTCTATAGCCGTTCCGTGCGGTGAGTTTAACGAAGAGAGACGTTGGGTTATCTTCTTCAACACGATACCTTAACGAACGCGCGGAGCAACGTTCTACAACCTGTTGCACGGCGACAGTCCCTTATATCAAAGCCGCCCTCCTACGCCCAACTTGCCGGGGAGAAGTTCCTGCCAGTGGCGCCGAAAAATACCGTAGCTATCTGGAGCTTGTCAAAATATATGCATTGAACAATAGCTGCAGGACGATCAGCTGTGCTCAACATCATCACTTCCGAGTCTATCCACCCACAGCCAGCTAGAGTCACGTGGTCGAATACCATGCCTCCCTTCTGCATGTGCGCGAGCTTAGCTGGTGTTTACAGCCGTTAGTCGCTTTAATATAACTCGATATATTCGAACTTGTTTGTGAAACATCCCCGGACAGTCTGCAAAACATTTTAAAGTCAAAACATGTTTGTTATCTTCCATAGTTTCTTACTTGAAAAAATATTTTAAAAATCGTGGATATTGTAAAATTCCTTAAATGCTAACGATTAACGCGTTTTGCAATAAATAAATAAATCGCATCAATGTCGTTCGTGCATATACACTGAGTGGTCACAAGTAAATAGACACCTAATTTTTCGTCATTTAACTGATTTATACTAACTAATTTA